AATTCTATTCCATATGTCTAGGTGTTCAACTGTATCATAATAGTAAAACAGACAAGTTTCAAAGTTGAAAATCAATATAATTTACCAGGAATGAACCATCAAATCATAAAATTTCTTAAACCACACCTAATCAGAGACTTTTCTGCAGCGTGTGTGTGTGTATTTTAAAGCACAAGCATACCTGCTTTCTGTAGGCATGGAATTACGTTACCTTGCACATTCGGTGCTGCTGAAGAATCTGATGATGCAGCCTGGTATGGCAGGTCTGTACTCAACTGCAAAAGATAGCCCTCAATTGTAGGCACTTCATCCCATTTGACATGAAAAGAGTTAGTAGTGGCTTTGATCAGCTGTACTTGTGATGGTGCTGGTGGTTTCTCTAAAGAATGATATCCATATTGTACACGTAAGCATCAAATTTATAACAGCTTGCCTGCATACTTTGTGGGGACAGGGAACTTTAAAAACATCAACAATAAATATTTCCCCTGTATACCAAGTGAGAAAAATTGTACTCAGATAAACATAGCTATAATAAGTCAAATGAAAATAGTTTGGGGTTCTGACTCTACTTATTTAATTCCATATAGAGATGTATCTATAAGCAAAACAATCTAGGTCCAAACTACTTGAGTCATAAGATTCAGAAAAAATGTTTAATCCTAGAAGCAGAAGGAAAATCCAAATATTAAATAATTATAACTACATTATTTTACCTTCTTTATAATTTTTAACTTTTTAAATTTTATGATCCAGTTTTTAGCCAACAGCATATATCTTAGAAATACTGTTAATGTCAGCAGAGATGATTTGAATATGGTATTTTGGAAAAACACAATTTCTCTAAAGTTACTATCCTCTTATCAATACTTGTAAGGAGCACTGGTGACTAGTGGTTAAGGCATTTGGCTGTTAACCAAAAGTTCAGTGGTTCAAACTCACCAGCTGCTCCACAGAAGAAAAATGAGGCAGTCTGCTTCCATAAAGATTTACAGCCTTGGAAA